TTGTGGCCAGAAAACTCCCTCTCTGATCTGTGTCCTCACCCAAGCCAACGCCGGAGCCTCACGGGAGTACCCGAGGTAAGAACTGCATTTGGGAGGGACCACCACAAAGAACAAGCCACCAGGAGGTGCCACTTTGTCACCTCCGTGTCCCTCCTGCATTAAAGACACGTGTGCAGCAGCCAAAAGAAACAAGGATAAGAAGAATCCCCTTCTTTCCGCAAGGACCGAGCGCCGTTTGTATTTTTTGTTTGAAGGAAGAAGAGTTTCCTAAACTCAGGGTGTTGTTCAGCCTTCCCAGCGAGGGCCAGCAGCTGCTCCCAGGTGCTCTTCCAGAAAGTTTGTGGCGTGTTTTAATTCTCCCCAGGGCACATTATAGCTGGAAACCATCCATGGGGGCCTCGGATTGCTGGAAGATGTATTGCTGCTGGTTCTCGTCCACCTGGGGGGCCACGGAGGAGTCGTCCTCCACCCCAAAGTAGTGCTCAATCAGGTCAAAGGCTTTCTGGTAGATCTCCTGGTTCTCGTGGCTCTGGAGGAATTCTATCTTATCCAAACCTTGCAGGGGAAAAAAAAAATTGGAATGCGATGAAACAAAGAAATTCTGGTAGTTCATCCTCAGATTTATTCCCACTCCCCCCCTCGTCCTTCTTCACTGTGTGAGATTTGCATTTTCTGAGCAGCTCTGACACCTAAATCCACACCTAAATGCAGCTATTCCAGAGCTGCTTGAGGATCTCACCCCTGCCAGGCAGCATTAATGTCTTTCCAGCTCATACAGATGTTTTAATTTGACTGGAATCTGATTTAGCCTCCACAACTGGCTGTGAGGAATTTGGGAGCTGCAGGGGGTAGGGAGGGGAAGGAGCAGGGTCTGCAGCCTCCAGCTTTTAGCTGCCCTAATTAAATCCCCTGCTGCACATCCAAGAATTCCAAGAATTGTTCTTACAGGGAGAATCAGGACACAGAGTGTAATAATCAGAGGGCAAAGCAGACACTGGCAGTACAGAGGGAGTTCCAGACCAAAATAGGAACTTGCTCCTCAAAGCACTGAGAGAAGGACAAAAAAAAAAAACAAAACCCCACCATCACCAAATTAAGTTGCTCCAGGGAAAAGCAAACTCTCCCTGGATTTCCAGTGTTCAAGTGGGCACAGTTCGAGCAACTTTAGGCCCAGAATTGTCACTTTTAACCAGAAATGAGCTGAGCTGAGTAAGCACTCCCAGCTGGTGAAAGCCACGACTAATCAGCTTGGCCTCCAGGTCTTGGAAGCCTGGATCGGAATTCTGATAGTTTTTACTTCCAAGTATTTTCTCCTCACCCAATCACGAGTCTGAAGAGACTTTGGAACAAATATTGGCCGTTTTGGAACATACTAAACCCCTTAACACAGCAGGAAAGCACCCAACAGACCCCCTCAGTGCCTCCTGCAGTGCCCAAAGCCCCCACCTACCATAGGCCTCCTCGATCAGGCTGCAGTAGGGGTTGATCCCAGTCCCACTCTGGTTGGCTTCCTGCTCTCCCAGCCTCAGGATGTTCTCCAGCCCATTCAATGCCACCAGAACAATCTTGGAGTCCATGACAGTCAGCAGGTCACACAGAGGCTTGATACAACCCAAATTTACCAGGTACCTGGAGAGAGAGCACCAGCAACACACACTTAAAGAAAATAAAAAAGCTATTTTTAAAGTCCAGGTGCTGCTAAAATTAAATCCACACTGGAATTTAATCTGTCATTTAGCCTTGTCTAAAACTATCCATGCAGAAAGCTCGGGCTGTGCCCTGCAGTCCCCATCAAGGCAAAGCTCCCAGGGATTTCCCCCAGGAGGAGCCACAGGGAATACCTGATCTGCTCAGGAGTCCCTCCTGAGGTGGCGTTGGTGATGGCCCAGGCTGCCTCTTTCCTCGTGCGGAATTCCGCCTTCTGCAGGATTTCTATCAGCACCGGGAAAATGTTGGCATCTATCACTGCCTGGGGAGAGAGGGCAGGGACAGGGGTTGGCACTGGCAACACCATTCCTAAGAAAGGCTTCTCAGCACCTGGAAGAAACCTCTCCCCTGTTTCCCAACACAAAAACTTCCCCAAGTTTCGGTGATTCCTCTGGGTTATTCCTCAGCCAACTCCTACTAACGCGAGATATTCCGTAACCAGCAGGACAGACCATCCCTGGTATTGCATCAATACTGTGGGAATGCTTTCAGCACTCATCTGCCTCCCTATGTAGGTCAGGAAAAGGATAATTAAAACTCAACCAGCTTCAAAGGGGCTGAGCATGGAGAAATAAAGGGCTGTATCTCCTGTTATTCCAATGATCCAAATGTGTGGGAATCATTTCAGGCTGGTCTGTGCTGGTGCCATCACCAAGCTCTTTTTCAGCTCGCTTGGCAGATGGTTGGGAGCAGCAAATTTGCAAATTACTGCAGAATGAGGTGAACAAATCCAGCCCCTAAAATGCCAGATAAGGAAAAAGCTGCAAAGCCTTAATGCTGAGCTTGGAATCTGGGAGGAGAAAGTACCTGTATCTGTGCTCTGTTTCCCGCTGT